TATATATGCTATATGATTGGAGTTACTGCTCGTCAATTATATATTAAAAGCAATACGAATGCATATCTTTCAATAATTTTCCAAGATCATGCTAAAAACTAGTATTTCGTGAATTCCACAAACCAGCCCTCCACGGCATCACGTTCTGTATAAATATATATTCTAAAAAAAATATATTCATCAATAATTATATTATCATATCTCTTATAATATCATCGAATATAGGAATTCTATATATCCGCATAATCTTAAATTTATTCTTTTAGAAATCTATTATAAGATTCAAAATTTCTATTTAGAAGTCATATTGATATAGAAGATGAAATTTCAGAAATTGATCAATGATTTCAGAATCATCTTCGTTCATATCTTAGAGATTTGAGATTTCTGATTTTCTATCAAGAATATAATATAGAAATTATCTATTTATTTGATCAAATTTATTCATAATTTTCATTTAATTCGAATATGATAATATTATCACTTCATTTCAATACGATATATCTGTATCTTATCTCTCTTTTTCTATATCTGTCAAAATATATTGATCTATCAAAATATCTTCATAAATGAATCTCAGATCAAATTTGAAAAATGACGGAAATCAGAAATTACGTCTATTTTCATTTCATCAAAAATCTAGATCTGAATTATATCTAAAAAGATATCCTTTAATATCAAAGATTTAATGATCTCTAAGATCATATTTTCGATAATTATTGATATAAGATATGAATGAATTCTCTTCGAAAAATTAGAAATATATATAAGAAATATATCCTAGATTCTTTTAATCATCATATCTTTAGATAAATCGATAAAATCTAAAAATATAAGTTAAAATATAATCGTGAAATGATATTTCAATTTTATCAATGAATCTCATTTAGAATCAATTAGTTCAATTCCTGATATTGTTCATTCATGCCCTATAGATTCTTTAAATATATCTCCAAATAATCATCAGAATCTATAAAGAAATTTTCTATATATCATCATCATCATCTCCCTCTTCTTCTGAAAGATTATATCAAAAATAATATATATCTTAAAGATGATCATCTATTATATCAAAGATAGGCGTAATAGATCGATATTATATACCGAATCTTCTCGATTAAGAATCAAATTTTTAAAATATGAAAGATACCTTAATCGAGAAATATTTTGTCTAATCTGAATATTCGAATTGATGATTTTTTTTCATTTGCAGAAACGAAAAATATTCAGATTTTTTCAGAAAATTCAATTTAAAAATCAAAATTGTTATCGTATGACATTTATTCATCAATTATAGATTCATATTTCGAATATATACGAATATCTTTCTTAATATCTAATTTCATCGATTAGAATTTATTCAATTTGAATTTTTGGATATCTTTGACGTATAAATAATGAAAAAAAAATTCGTGAGATCGTAAGATAAGCATTTATCGTTATTTCCATTATAATAGAGATATATCAATCTTTCCTATAATTATTCAATTTTCGAGAGGCGGGTTAAGTGGAAGAATTTAAGTTAGAATTCTTGAGAATCAAAAATAGATCGATTAAATTAAGTTCCGTATGAACGATATAAATCAAAATAACGATATCTTATTCAATCATTTCTTGAATAATTCTATCCATTTCGATATATAAAAATTATCTATCCTATCATTTTTAAAATATTTCTTATCATATTTTGATTTTGATAATATTCAATATAATTCCAAATCACGAACGAATAAATTCATCGTAAATGAATTTTATATAAATATCAGAATTATGAGATTAAGATATATACGGATTTCATTATTATCCGCCGCGTTCAGGGGTTCAGAATTCCGTAGAGCCGTAGATAAACCATTGATCTGAAAAGATTTTCAAATCCACTAAAAATTCAAAATATGCACGCATCAGCACCCCTAGATAGATCCAATTTCGTATGAGAATATCAAAATTCAGAGACGCTAAACATTCATATTTTTTTCGAATCTAAGATTGAGAATATTCTGGTAATGAACTTATACAACAAGTGAATCATCATGATAAGAAATATTTATCATCGTAAATATATTCTGAATAGAGATGTGATCATATTCTATCGAAATACTTCATCGCAACAAATATCTAGATTAATGATATAGATATGTATTCATCTTTCAATATCTTTCATATAACCAAAAAATCTTAGAAATCCGAATTTGTTATTTTTTCATTTGGAAGATATAGTATGAAGACCATATACGCCACAAGCACGAACGCACGTCAGGTCCCCAGGCCATGCATGCATTAAAGCCCGCGACCACTCGGCGAACCTTTGGAAATGCGAGGCATTATCGCAAACGATCTTACCTACACAACGCCAATGGGAATTTCTCCTCATGACAGTGTGAGGGCCTTTCCCAAGAATTCCAAATCTCCGAAATTGGGCCGATTTTTGTCTGGAAGCAAAGGTTGCGTCATCCTCTCATCAAAGGTGCAGGAAGTCTCTCGATAGTAACGCTTAAAACAATTGAGGTCTGGCGGGGCGGTGGCCACGTGCCATAAGGGCTCAAGTCTAAATTCAAAGCTCTCATCGTCAGCTTCGATTCCAGAGGCTGTTGCCCTATACCCTAACTAGTAGCTTCCATTTTCCTTTTGTGCAAGCCCCTGCATGCATGTATGTAATGCTGTGGGAAGCACAAGCCAGTCCGCTGCTTTGTGATAGTTACCGCAGATGAACGTGCCAAAAGGCATGCTCAAAACAGGCTGGTTGGTTATAGGCACACACCTACCATGTGTGCCCAACGTCTCGTGAAGACCCGCATTTTAACATAGGTTCTCCTCACCCATGACAGGCCGGGGCAATGACAGGGTACCTGTTAGTGGTGACAACCCAGTGCCCATGAACCGTCTGCTTGGAGGGTCAGGGGACTTAGTAAGTAGTAAGGGGACATAATAGTCTCCTTGTTGTTTTCTATTATTTGCTATTTACCTACTGACAGATTCTCCCTGACCCCCAAGTGGGTAGTCTCAGATTCTGAAGGTTGTTCCTTGAGGAGTGAAGCCTTGGCAGCCCAAAAAGTTCTGGGTCTAAGTATTGAATTGGCTTTGGGGTTTTATGAGGTTATATAGGGGCAATGGAAAATAAAATAGAAACTACAGGGATTCATAGGGTCGTATAGGGGTGTATCTAAGGGTTTAGGGTTTATTCGTTTGGGCCTTTTGGCCACGAAAGCTAGGGGCACCAGCCAGACCTCTTCCGGGATCTGGGTTCAAAAGGAACGGACGTGGGGTTTAGGGCGTCGGGCTAAGCCGTCTTCAGAGACTGCGACTCTAAACCCACTCCTCCTGATCATAAAAAAGTTTAGGGTTGAGGGTTTAGGGGTCCATAATAGTTGGCAAATTTGTGCTCTGGTTTAACCCCCTTTTCCCCCTTCCGCTCTATCACCTAAGACCCCATGGCGCTAAAAAAAGGGCTGCTCAGTCATCCTTCTCGAGATAATTCAACGTCTTTCGCAGGAGGGTCTTGGTGATGTCCCCAAACTTGTACTCCTCCTGCAGAGCTTGAGGTAGTGTACTTGGAGGTTCAAGGCACGTACAACCCAACCATAACCACATTTTTTCCAAGGGCTAGTAGTTGAATATCATCATAACCGGTTTCTGATTCGAGGACCTAAACCCTAAACCCTACATCCTGAGGACCTTCCCTTAGGATTGGGAGTCTAGACCGTGCGGCAATCCAGTTGAACCTCGTCACAGTCTTCTACAGCCTGGCTTTCATAGTGCTACGTCTGGCTCACGCATCAAGCCATGAGTACATCCTCCTAAGCCCTAAACCGAAACCCTAAACCCAAAGCTTCAACAACATCCTCCATCTAGGTGCGAAACCTTGAGAAGCACACAGGTGGAGGCCTGAACAGGCCATACCTTGTTCGAGGCCTGCCTCATTCTCACCCATGAAATTCCAAGGCCCTGAAATCCCAACCGTAAACCCTAAAACCTACCGGATGAGGCGAGATCCCCGTGCCGTGTACGCAGCGTAGGCCGGAATACCCCCTGCTACCGGGCACATAGGACCCCCTGAACTATGGGACCCTAAGCTCTGTCCTCATGCAGTGTTTAGGGCCTCAAGCTGTTAAAGATACGTAGTTTGGGCTTCAGGGCTGGTGGCTTTTGCCACTCTTATGAGCTCATATGGCTCGCGGCAACACAACGTAAGTTCCGGGGCTTCTGATCTGGGTGGGACTTGGAGCTGAGACGCTATTACGTGCACCTCAATATTCTTGTAGGCTCCATAGAGTTTGGAGTTCATTGAGGATACGCATGAAGAGTTTGAGGTGCAGTCACACTTCATTCTCTATGAAAGATGCGCCAAAAACCGACACACCGCACCAATTTCAGATAACTCCCCCCAGCACAAACCCCTGAAACTCTGAACCCCTTCACCCTTTGTCGCTCCTTGCCAGTCCAGTCGTTGATCGCGTCCATGGCTTTGTTGACTGCGGCTTTCGTCACATCCCCGAACTGGTACTCCTGGCCCCAGGTACTAGCTAAGACCCCCTTTTTTTTAGGGATGGGCTCAAGACTTTAGCGATCCCGGCTCAGGGACAGAAGGCTGCAGTCTTTAATCATGTAAGTGTCATGTGGGGGATTGTCAAAATTATGGTCCCTTTTTGGGTCCCTATTATAATACGGGGCCTAATTTAGGGGACCCAAAAAGGGACCATAATTTTGACAATCCCCCATGTGATTTTCCAATAAAGTCCTGAACACGTACCTCGCGCGCTTGAACACACCCTAAACCCTAAATAATATCAGGCCAAAGATGGCCAACTTGTAATAGAGCTTGCTGTATAGCTTCAAGGACTTGCGATGTGATCTATCGTCTATAATGCTGGGTTTAAGGCTGAGATTCCTAGTATTCCACTTAATAACCCCTGTGCTGCTCCCCTATATAATCCCGAATATAACTCCCTAAAGGAGTTTAGACAATAGCTCATGTGGCTTCGCGCCTTTCTATGACTCCTTCTTCTGCCAGAAGAATTAGACTTCCAAGTCGCCCAAGAAGCGGCGGCACTCAAAATCAGAAAGCCTTCCTTCCCCAAGGCTTCATGCAAGGGTTTAAGGGTTGAGGGTTTGTACTATTCATGACTTTAAGGCCCCACGTAGGTATTCTTTACAGACTTACCGCCCCGGGGCTTCAATGTTGGCTCATGTCTGGGCAACGGAGCAATAAAGCTTGCTCATTCCCATCCCCAGGTTCGACGTCAAACCCACACCATGGCTCAGGCTTTAGGTTTTATGGGTTTAGGGTGGCCCTAAAGTGCAGCCATAAATCCCTGACCCTGCTTAGCCGCCTAACTTGAATTTCCACGCCAGTCCCAAGACAAGCAAAGTCAGAACTCCTCCTACTGATCCCCAAGCAAGCTTACGAATCGGCACGCTACAACCGCCTGATCCCTAAAACCCTTAAAGGCAGGGCTCCTCTTTACCCAGAAGGGTAGCCACAGCGGTCTTTGCACGCTTAGCGGCCTCCTTGGAGACATCGCCGAACTTGTAGTCCTAGGAGTTGGGATCAAGGCCCGAAACTCCGGCGGTAGTGTCACGAATCATCCTTAATTTGAATGATGTTATTGGAAGTTCCGGGAACTTGCCAAGATCTTATGTAACCTAAAGCCCTCCAGCCTACCCCCAGGTTTTGCCAGATCCTGTGCAAAGCAAAAGTTCACGTGCGTGTCCCATGGTCTTGGAGCTTACGGCTTACGGTTTGGGGGTAGGGTTCTGACGGGTAAGTCGACAACCTGTCGATATACAAACTTATCCTGGCGGAGGGATCCCAATGGCTCCATAGGCAAGACCACGTTCGGGGCGTGGCTTTCGAGGCTTAACCCACACAGCCGCAATTGACGTCTATTTGCGCAAGCCTGTACTCTTACAGCAGTTATGAAAAGGAAGCTGGGACCATAATGCCCAAGCCGTTTGGGCTTAGGCCTGGTTAGGATGGACTGAAGGAAGAAAAACACAATTTTTTCTTTGGTGATTGGGAGCAGTATATTTTTGGCAGCCACTCTTTTCCATTTGCAAAGGTCGAAGTGCACGGTCGCGCAGAGGCTAAGTCCCGCCAGCATTGCAGACCCTTACAGGTCAACAGTCCCGGGAACAAAAGTAGAGACAACGGTACCCTTACCAATCCCGCGTCCAAGCTCAACTGACCAATCGCAGCTCGCAGCTCACAGAACTAACCCCTCTCAAGCAAACTCGCAGCTGGAGGAGCCACAACGAATGTCAAAGCAGGAGAGAAGAAGCCATGGCACTCACCATCCCAAGAACCCCGAAAGCAGTGGAGCAAGCAACCTGCAGTGCCCTTCAGCCGGAAGGGCTCCTTCTTCACTATCCTTCAGCAAGGTTTCTTCCACCTCAAGTTCCGCCGCAATCTGCTCAATCAGTTGAGGTTCCACAACATGCTCATCCGAACGGGGGACAATCAGGACGAGATACAGGGTCATCAGCACCAGCCACAAACCACCTCGCCTCGTTCCAACAACGCATCTGCTCATCTTGCTGCACGCCAAGGATTAGGGCTTAGGGACTACGGTTTAGAGTTTAATTATGGGGGTTCTGTGATGACTACTCCAATGACCCATTCCTTCATTCCTTCCTAATCAGGGGTGGCATGGTGCGTCGTCAGGTCACGGTGCATCCAATGAGACGGCAGAGTTCGACAGTCTCCGAAATATGCGGATCTGTGCAATGTAGCGTTGAAGAAACAAGCCTAAATACGATCAACGTAGTCCAAGATTATTTTTATCATCTCAGAGAATTTAACAGAGGCATTTCATAAGTCATGTAACTGAACTTTTGTAAAAAGGTCAAATCTTATACTCGCTCGTCCTTAATTGACGCTCCTCCCATATTAGAATCAAAATATAGTTGGCTTCTAGGGCGGACTCAACCCAATGCCATTTTTGAAATGATATATCACGCGTATAAAAAAGATACTCTGTTTCCCGCTAACAGCCTTCCAGATGAAACTGCATTTAAAAACATAAAGAATATCAGATGCGAACACTAAGAATTTCAGAAGCAAGCCGCGAAAACTAGAATCTGTTTATTGCAAGGCTTCAGAAAAAGAGAGGGGGTGGATCAAAAGGATGCCACCGCCACCGCCACCGCCACCACCGCCACCACCGCCACCACCACCAGCACCACCAGCACCACCAGCACCACCACCAGCACCACCAGCAGCACCACCGCCAGCACCACCAGCACCACCACACCACGACCACCACGACCACCACGACCACCACGACCACGACGACCATGACGACTCCTCTCATGATGTACGAAAGTTTGATCTTATCCTTTAAAGTCCCAAAATGAAGTTCGGCCTATCATATTTCCATCATCGCCATTTCAAGAGACGAAGATATTGAAACCAATTGAGGAAACAACCAAAATAAGAACAAGAAATGGCATCCGCTTTGCGGCTGCGGTCGTGGAATCCTTTATCGCGCGCAGAAAGAAAAATGAATAAACAGAAAAATACATAGAGGAAGATCGTGAATGAAATATATCAAGAAATAGAATTACATAACTAGAGATCTATAAAGATAGATAAACGCCGATACAAATAGATAGACCAATAGAACTGAATATCAAAGACATATAAACGAGGACGGCAAGAAGATAGACACCACTCAACTCGACCCATGCCTTTATCAGACTGCAACCTACGTCCCTTTTTCAAATCATAATATTTATTATATATACTATTATAAAACCAGATAATAACATGAAAAAAGGAAAGATACATACATACATAAAGATACATAGATATAATCAGATACAATTTGATTCCTTGGATAGATGATTCCACGGATAGGTTTCATATCTTTTCAACCTAGGCATTCTACACCTTCAGCGTGATTAGACGTGACACTTCTCATGAAAATCACTTCTCCCTAAACCAACAGGGTTTGAGGACTTGGGGTTAGTAAGCCTGCAAGCTATCCCAGAAACCTTGAGTATTGCCCCCACTCGGCAACAGTTTGATATTTCCAAGCTAAAAGATATGTATATGTCCCGAAACTTTTTTCCCCAAGCCCTGTAAACTGGGCCAACCTCGGGATCCCAGTTCCTTCTTGCCTCTCTCTCTCTCTCTCTCTCTCTCTCACGCTTGCCTAAACCCAAGAACCCCAACTCCTAAACCCTAAGCCCGAAGCCCAATAAACCCTATAGTCCCCCTTTAGTAGATAGAATATGGGGTATTTGGGGATCTTATTATAATATACCCAAATCCATATTCTATCTACTTAAGGGGGACTATAAATCCTTCTTGTGAACATGGCTCCTCCTTGCCAGTGAAGGCCAGGGCCGCCTCCTTGGCACCCTCCTTGATTTGGCCAGCCACAGGCTTCACCACCTTCTCAGGAAGCTGATTAGACATTTAGGGTTTAGGGTTCAGGGTTTAGGGTTTAGCGTTTAGGGTTTAGGGATGAGGGTTGAGGGTTGAGGTCAGGAGTTGAGGGTTTGGGGTTGAGGGCTTAGGGGTCAGATTTACACAGGGACCGGGATTACCTTCTCAGGAAGCTGTTTGGAGATGAGGGTCGTAGGTTTAGGGCTGAGGGCTTAGGGTTGATGGCTTAGGGTCAGCTTTCTTCCACAGAGACTACACTTTCAGGATTCTACCAAGCCCAATCCTCGAAGTGCGTGGGTTCATGCCTCTTACGCCTCAGACGTGCTTAGGGATAAGCTTCCTTCAGTCCACAAAAAGGTGATGCTTGCAAGGGTAAACCCTGCGTCATACAATACCTGAATCCGGCGCGTATCCCTGCATACAGTGTCCTGTGTAGAGTCTCCACCAACCTATGGTTAAGCGTGGCTCCAAACTCCTTCTAAAGATGCTTACATGCCCCAAACACATGTGATATTATCAAACTTATGGGCTCCTTTAAATTCCACATGATGGTAGGGTACCTAATATTCAGGGGGTACCAAAATGGAACCCTGATTTTTGGAGCTACCCACATGTACGTTACCTCTTCCTCCCCAAAACCTTAAACCCTTAGCACGGCCTGGGAAAGAATGATTGGGTTGCTGCCCTCCGGAGCGACTTTCGCGGCGTCGGCAGTGAGGTATACCTTGCGAAAATAGCGAGGTGTATGGGAGTCCCAACTTACAGACTGGGATTAGGGTTTGGGCCCTGCAAAGGTTACATTAGGGTTATATAGGGATCATGGTCCATAATCATTCATAGTCCCAGGAATCCCCCAGCAAACGGCTTTCCGTGAACACGCAGAGCACCTCACCCGCCGTAGCCCGAAACGACCACCCTATCACGAGCACCCTTGACGAACAGAAAATCCTGATCTTTAGGCTCGCCGTCCACCCGGAGGAGACTGCATACTGACTCATATATGGGGGTTTCCCCAAATTAGGGGCACCAATTTGGGGGTCCCCATAATAAGGATTATCATTTTTTGGGGCCTATATCGGGGTTTATAGTATTTTGGGGAACTACCATATACCTGTCCAGGCTTTTCACACGCCAGCAGCAACAGCACTCTTTGAGAATCTGCTTCCCATTCTGTTTTGGGGCAACCAGCGGGTAGGGTTTAGGGTTTGGGGTTTTAGGTCTTGGGATAGATCGATTGGGCGTCAGAGTTGGAAATGATCATCTATACTTTGCATTGCAACTGGCCAGTATTAATGTCATTTCTGATGTTGCTTGTTCGTCAAGTCTGGAATTCTCGTACCACACGCCACTAGCAGCATCCAGAGCCTAGGGCAAACCACATATTCCAACTCAACAGCCTAAAGGGTCAAAACAACAAATCCTACACTCTGAACCACAGTTTCCAAGCTCTAAACCCATTCACGGTTTAGAGTTTGGGGTCCCAAGCCCTACCCCTGCCAAGTCCCAAGCTCTATACTCAAATCCTAAGTGCCAAATTCAAGTCCCAAGCTCTAAGGCCTTAAAACTGTCATACTGACAACCAGTAAGCAATAACATCCCAGAAGCATTGTCCAGCTTCTGGACCTCATGTGCCAGGTTTAGGGTTTAGGGTCCCTTTTTAACCTATAGTCACCCTTAAGTAGATAGAACATAGGGGTCATATAGGGAGAATGGAAAAGAATATGGAAACTACTATCTAGGGTTTAGGGTCCTTCTTAAGTAGATGGAATATGGCTTTGGTATATTGTTTTATTCTATCTACTTAAGGGGGACTATACGGAAATATGGCCACGAATACTTCAGGGTGCCTTAGAAAGAACAGCACCGTTGACAACCACCCCATGTCTTCGGCCTGAAGCTAGAGAGCTTTTTGGTTCAGCATGCGCGTGGGGTATCGGAATTCTGGGTTTCAAAGCTGAAGTTATGCGCACCTTGGGTGGCTCTGCAGGGGAAAGCCTTTCCTGCACATCTGGCCCCAAAACCCGAAAACCAACCAGCACTGAGAAACACCTAAACTCTTTCAGGGGGTGTAGGGTGCATAGCCCCCCTTAAGTGGATAAAATATGGAATTGCCTTATATCACAATAAGATCCCCATATACCCCATATTCTATCTACTTAATGGGGGCTATAGGGCATTTCCTGGAGCCCTAGAGCACTACTTCGCTGGTCAAAGCTGGCTGTTCGGGCATGGGTATAGGGTTTAGGGTTGGCCCCAAACCCTACTTGGAGGGTGAGGGGGACTTAGTAAGTAGGTTCACAACCCCTATATCCCATATAGGAAGCCTAGCTATCCCCGCTAGTACCCTATTTACGAAGTCCCCCTCACCCCCAAGTAAACCCTAAATCCTAAGCCCTGAGCCCTATCTCCTCAACCTTCAACCCTAATTAATGT